TAAATGCATAAACTATATTTATGATACTTGTAAGCACATCAACCAACGTACCTTTAAACGAAAAGAAAATGAAAACAGAAAAACACAAGACCTTTGAAGATAGGCAGGCAAGCAGACAATGTATGTGGTGCATATATGTGCAACGAATTTTCAAAAACAAAACTATATTCGCGTTAAAAATTTATACTTGAGTGAAAGACTGATTCACAGCTAAATAGGACCGCATTATTTTTTGCCACAGATCATAGGGGTGGATGATCCGCTATCTGACATTTTTGTGAATCAAAAACAAAAGGAAAAGCAAAAGCAAAAACGACAAATACGTTAATGCAATTATAATTTGTATAGATTCCTTATTGCCAAGTCCTAATCTCTATGACTCTCCCTCTCTCTGATTAGCTTTTACTTAGTTGAATGACTTAATGAATGGAATATGAAAAAGCATTATGAGCGAGTTGTCTCTTGTTGTTTATTTTCCAGTTTGTCGGCATATTTGTTTTTAAAAGGCAATCCGAGAGTGCCTTAATTTCATAAGTAGCACACGGGATAATCAATTTAATATACGTCCAAACAAGCGGGGATAAGACGACAGAATTTTGAGCCGCACACAAACAGAATTACAAAAAAAGTAAAAAAAAAAAAAAAAATAATCGGCATCGTTGTGTCGGCTATAGTAGAGTTGGTGAGGACTGCGGTGGCGATGACAACTGCACACTCGCATATACAAATATAAAGACGCAATGGCAGAAATAAATTTTCGCGCAATGAATTTAAAATAGTTGCATTTTCCTTAATATACAGGATAAAAATAGAAAATGCAGAAAAAAAGGAAAAAAGAACAAATAAATAAACGAAAATATCGCCTACATTTAGAAATATTTAAGCAGAAAACTACAATAACTAAACAACATGTTAAGAGAGTATAGCGCTAAATACGACGGTTCGGTTTAAAACGAATTTCAAATACAATGTGTTGGACAAAACCAATAGAGAGAGAGGGAGAGAGTGAGGAGCCATTTCTCGCATTTAATTGAATTGAACAGATTACAAACGATATCGGTACAATTTCGATATATTTTAAATTTCAATTCATTTTATTATCTTAAGCATCGTTTTAAACGTCCAGGAAATGCAAACTCAAGCCTTCAAAGAGCATACGTTTGATTAGCAGCAAGCTTAGCAATGCCTTAGCCTAGCTTTAGTTAGTGCAAAGACAAATATTTCTAATTCATTGTAAGTATTTCCTCTAAATCAAAAAATTGACAAAGTGATGCGTAATTCATTATTGATACCCTTCCACCTTTCTTTGAGCTCTTAACACGGCAACTTGTTTGAGCTTTTTTTTGCTGTTCGCTGGAATTATGGAGAGACCACGTTTCGGTGCATATGCTTACTTACCTTACATTAGTTTTTCGTGAATTTTTTACGCAAAAAATTCAATTCATATCGTTGACCAATCGCCCTATTCCCTTCTCTCCGAATACTGGATATATTTTGCGAAATTCGAAAAGCCATTTCCAGTATATCATTTTCACAACGGTGTGAGAGATGAAACGAATTGGGAAAAAAATTCATTTTCAAATTTTCAGATGAAAAAAAATAAGTGTGTCTCGGTATATCATGCAGTTTGACATGAATGTCAATTAGGATGTTGCCAACGCAAAAAAAAAAAAAAAAAAAAAAAAAAAAAGAAAAGAACTAACTGTACGACTAAAACTCATTGGTCGTGGGTTCAAATCTCAAATCAATTACGATAGAGCTTGCAGTCAAAAACGAGCATATGTTCTAAATTATTCGGCAGCCAATAAATCCAAGCCAATAAATTGTAAATTTCTTTGCACAATGTTTAGGCAATGGCTAGATGAAAAAGCATTAACGGTAATATAGAAATATAGTCTACATTCTAAATGAATTAAAAATGAAAAAATTTTTAACCGTTGGTTTATTTAATATTAAAGTTGAATCGCCAAGCTTTAGTCTTTTTTTTTTTTTTTTTTAACTTACTGACCAACTAGAGAATGACAAGCAATGTCAAGATCGATATCTCGCAAAAGCACTTGTTGAGATCATATCGTGAGCACAAAATGGCCGGGTACCATTTGCTTTGTACACGACAATCTATTTTGTTTTTTGATCCGTATCTTATGCATTTTTGCCATTTCGGATACGAAGAAGTGTAACGCGTGCAACATATACATTTCTGTGTTTGACTTTGAAAATGTAATTAAACTTGAAAGAGTCATTTTACTTTTCAAATACCATATTCATAACTTTTTTTTTGATATTTGCTAATAAATGAAATTTGGCTGCACGGCGATGAGAAAAGAATTAGCCAATAAGGGTCGCCTAGGTTTGCTATAACGATTGCCGCTGAATAATCCGGTGCGTTATCATGGACGCCTTATCTATCGCAAAACATCGTTTCATATTCCGTCTCTCCATTATAAATCATAACGCGAAATAGCTTGTCGTCCTCTCGTGATATCTGCCCCGACTAAGAATAGTCAGTGGTGTTTATACCGCACAAATCTTTTTCACAAAAAGCAAAGGCAAAGGTAGTGTATTCATCCCCCTTAGAAAACAGCATAAAACTCAACATTTTTCTGCAATAAAATCATTTCATATTCTTTCGAAAATAATTGAATCCCCAAATTACTGTTGGACGTGTAAGCAAGCACTACTTTTTTAATAATCAATTAATATTCTACAGCCTTTGATGTGATCGTATTTAAAATATCGATAAAGTTGATGAAGTTGAACTCTTTGATGACATGTATTTCATTATTTTTATTGCATAAAATAAACATTTCTATCCTGGTTCCAAGTTCTTGCATATAGTCGTCTCAAGGATTTCTCGATAAGGGAAGCAGAACGGCAAGAAATTCTATCCATCTCTGAGCCATTGAGAGCTTTTGTCAGGTACGAAATCGATTTGGATCAATAATTATGCTTTATTGTCCAATAAGTGACGTAACACGCTCAAATACTAAGCATGGATAAATGATTGAAGTGGCTGTGACTGCTTTTATCAATAATTCGTGGGGCTAAAGAAGAGCGACGCTTCGACGAAAATTGGATTTTATTCATTAACTTAGTCCCCATTTAGAAATGATGCAAGCAATTCAACGCTTCTCTAACATTTTATAGCCTCTTTTTTTTTTTTAGAATTATTTCGCAAGACGTTGCAAGCTTTTGCAAGTCTATGACTACTCACACGATCGTTTTAAAAGTATATTTAATGAAATTCAGAAGAGATTTTAGAGCTTCTTCCAACCAATGCATATTTTTTGTTACAGTTAATGTTGAAATTCAAAACTGCGTCTGCCTGCTTATTCGAGCGTATATGAGACTCGAAGATGAGAGCGAGATTAAAATCCATTACCAACGAATTGATTATGAGATCCTAACTGATAAGAATGCTAGCTGCATTCAATTTTGCGGGTCTGTTATTAAACTTTGTTTATTTATAGAATGTATATAAACACGGTTATTTACTATCTAAGAACAAGGATGTTGACGATATCTGCCACGAGATTTAACTGAGAAGAAGAGAAAGCTCTTAGTCTCTTGTTGTGTCTGCATACACATTGAAAGTATCTCTCTATCATATATATATATATATATATATATAAAAACATAAACATACATACTCACATATATACATACATATATAGATGTACGTATATATACATACGCACCCAATATATTCATATTATATTATATATAAATACGATATGTATGTCCATATATAATTTTGCATGTATCTAGATAACATATATATGCATTGGTCTGTCTTTTCAAATGCTAGTCTGATTGGCGACGACTGCGGCAGCAACACCAGAAAACATGTGATTTTAATTTATAAAAATTTCAAAACCTTAGAAAGAAAGAAAACAAAATTAGCTAAATTTAAATTGTTGTCAATTTTAAATATTTTTAAGATCTATTTTAAATACAACAGCCGTGCATGCATAGAACACAAAAACAAAAAATCCAAGTTACAAAGAAAACGAACGAAAAAGAAAAGAAAAGAAAAGAAAATAAAAGAAAGAAAAATAAAAACAAAATAGATAAATAAGAAAAACTTCCAATGCATAAGCGATTGTATGTATGCTTTGGTATGTGTGTGCATATATACTAAACACAAGCAAACTATCGCAAGCCGCGATAAATAAATGAAAGAATGAATAACAAAACAGAGAAACATACATTCATTCATATATTCATGCAAACACAACGTGCAAACAAGTTTTGCATCTTTATTTTGCAGCGTAAGGAAGTCCTAAATGCATGCATGAGCGTGTGCGTGTGCGTGTGCGTGCGCCTATATATATATATATATATATATCTATATATATGTATTTGCGTGTTTGATGCGTTTGTAGCTATGCTCATGTATCGAGAATGAAGATAGATATATGTGAGGAAGCTTCACGTAGCTAAGGTCGACTGTTGGTCATCCCGCGCTCATGTAAATGAAGAATATTGTTCCTGTTGGAGGGCGGGCAGGCGGGTGGGAATCAGTCGTCATTGATCCAATAACAAAACACAAAAAAATAGATATATAAAGATAGAACTTAACAGGAAGTTCGCCATGTTTCTTCAAATTTTGCGAACTTAATGACGAACTCAGTCTGCATTCGCTTTACGACTGAATGAATGACGGTGGGTGTAAGAAAACCTCATAAATCTGTGCCGTTAAAACGTATATGCGCGCACTCTTTCTTCCCATACTAGTGCGAATTTATATACTTATCTTTTTTTTTAAATCTTAAATTTTATTTGTTTTACATAAACGCGTATAAGTTTATATAAAGAATTACTATCATAACTAACAGATCAAGCTTTGGCTGCGTACGAACGTACGAACGCAAAGGCAACTATAAAAAACGTGTCCGCTTAAAAAGGAAAGGAAACATTGACGAGTGTGAGTTACATGTAAATATTTCATTAACCAAGAAAGTTGTGGTATTTCACAAGCGGAAACCGTCTATGTACTTGCAATAGGTATGTTTACACGCATAGCCGTTTACTTATAGTTTCAATTTGAATCTATATGAATACATACAAGTACATACGTACAAAAAAGTAGTTGCGGATATCCGGTCATAAACACAACATATATATATATATCTTTTCATTCTTCCCCACATATGTACGTATATATGTATATATATGTGTATGGTACGCCTTCGTCTGTTTATAGTTTTACTTAGTACTTTATAAACGATATATACGTGCGTTTGTATACCAATAAGGTGTACACGGAAAAGGTAACCCCCACGTAAAAAAAAAAAAAAATATTATAATAATAATAAATAAATAAAATTTCAATTAAATACGTTTTTATGCCTTTTAGAAAACTATCTTAAGTTGCTTTTTACATTTTTAATTAGCTGAGTTATTCGATTTCACTTTATGGCCCTTGCTCTAACACATTATAACCGCAGCGATTATTATCTTTAGGCCCATAAAATATCAAAATCCCACTAGAAATGCGTTAACTGAATTCATAAGAGGAAATGAACAAAAAAAAAAAAAAAAAAAAAAAAAAAAAAAAATGTGATTTATTGAAAACAAGACCAAGCAGTTCATTCAATTACATATAAACTCATTTAAGAGAGTTTATAAGTGATGTGTAATGATGCATGATTTGTCAAAGATTTTTATAATAACCCCCCTGACTGAAATTGGCATCAGGATAATTTCGTAAACGTTCGTTAACATGAGTTGCAAATGCATTGTTAGAAGTATTGATTATCGTATTTAATTATCGAAGTCATTATAACGATTTGAAAGCTCTCTCAACTAACATTATAATGCTGTTGTTGATGAACACCTAAAATTCATTTAATCGTTGAAGATCGCTTTGACATTCTACACAAACCTTGAAGGCAAACAAATATCGTTACATTCTATTTTCTGCGATAATTCTAATGTATTTTTTAATTCCTTACTGAGTCCGCAATATATATGCGTTAAGTCGAATTAACCAACACCTATTTAGATTAAAGACCTGTTAACCCCTATGACATTATAGAGAAGAACATCAATCGGAAGCAATGGCAAAGTTCAAGGTAAACAATTAACAATAAGTGGGAACAAGCGATCACATAAACCTAAGTAACTATATACTCGGGTATAGATGCTAAGAAGAGTCACGATGCTGCCGCACTGAGATTTAAACCCACGCACATCAATCTGATAGTCGTGAGTCTGATACTCTCGGCAATGCGATGGCGCTGAAAGAACTGACCGCTGTCAGTTTGTTTAGATATTTTACGGCCGATCAGATACATTAAAGTTCTTGCCTATTGGAAATGATTTATAAAATATCGCAAGTGAATGTTTATTCCCCCGGACATTTTTCTCGCTCTGGCCTTCCACTCACATATAGCGCCATCTTGGCATTTGCTTATTACACAAATCGAACAATATCGAACTTGAATGCTAATCTACTCAGTTACGTTAGCGTTTTGACTTGCTTTTTTCTATATTCGGAAACTTAGTCGCTTAATGCTGAATAGCCATAGGAGTGTTTAATGGGATCACCTTCGCATAAATTTTACTCTCTGCTGAATATATAATAAGAAAATTCCCATCGCTTGTAAATGTTCATTTTACTTATAAAGAAGATTTTCGCAGAGAACCGCTTCATCGAAAATCGTGTTCATTAATTTGTTTATACGATCAACTTCGTTGCGGTACTTTGACGTGACAACCCGACAATATTATTATAATTTAGATTGTGATTTATTTAATAATCGAACAACGTAAAATTTATAAATGCCTCGACATTCGAAACCGAGAAACGAAAGCAACAAATCATCGAACAAGTAACGCTATCTGGGAAAATCCTATAGGTCAATTCGGCCCAGTACGATTGCCGCATTTACAATAATAGATGAACCCTGTTCTCGTACCGCTAGCCCGCTGATGGAAAAAGTCGCCGAATGTTGCTATAGGCCCTTGTAAGCCTTTGTCAGCTCATTGCTTTGTGCGGTTAAACGTACGCTTAAGTGAACATTATACAAAATTGTTCTTAAGAAGAATTTTCTCAATTAATAGCTTCCTTCATGAACTGCTTGAAATTTTTTTTAACAAAATTCTATACATCTGAACGTTGTTGTTAATATTAGTTAAATCAGTGAATATACGTGTATATATATTAACTTACTTATAATTATATAAACGTAGTTGTATACACTGATGTATGTGCTTAATCATTCAAAAACCTATACGTCCAATATATTGATGGTCAGAACGACGTGAAAAGAGACAGAAAGAGAAAGATGTAGGAAGTGTCTGAAGCCTGATAGAAATGTGCCCGTTCGGTTAGTGTTACGCCTTCACTGATCAGGCACTCATTATAATTACAACCACAGTAGCAATCGTAATTAAAGTATGACCACGGAATGCCCAGGGAATTCGATCTCCTATGACCATTGGACAGTCGTGCTTTTTCACTACTTGGCAATGCGTTAGCCTACTTGTTGCGAAACATTGGCAAAATTTATATCTAAGACAGATGGGTTGGTCAGAAATCAAAAATAACATTCCGGGCTAAGGGGGAGTTTATGTATGCATTTCCACGCTTGCCGTTACAGATATTAAATTACCGTTGCCGATAGAGTTTTTGTGATTTAACAAGCGATCTCTGTCTAGCTATTATCTAAGATGCAGGAAAATTAGATGAAAATAGGAAAATGCGGGTGGCCAGCACCAAAAAGCCTGGTATGGTTTCAATGTACATTCTGTTATGGCAGAGAATGTACCATCACACGTGCGGTAGTGTAATCATAATCTGAAAAAATGTCACCCACTAAATGTCTTTAGAGCATTTTTTAAAATCTTTTAATTTTTAAACTGTGCACACGCAGTCATTGCACTCATATGGTAGGGAAGGGAAGTGGATATATGTGCTTATGATTAAATATGCTGAGGAATACGATGAGACGACCAATCGATCATAATCGAAAAGTCTTTGAAAACAAATACCTATAGTACACCAGTGCATGTAAAAAACTGAAGAGAAAGATTAACATAAGACGGGAAAACAACAAGTAAAAACACAACCACAATACACCCACAAGTTGTGACATCATATCCGGCACTCAGAAACCAACAAGAAAAAAAAAAGAGAAAAAAGAAAAAGCGCATATTATACAAATTGTCGATCCATTCAAAAGCGACGTACGCGCCATTCATTGTATATATTCGTTTATCTATTTGTGAATATATAGTTTATGAGAGCAACACACAACAACAACTACTCAATACATATTCGCTCATTTGTGCCCGAAATTAGATTAAAATTTTTTAAATAAAATATTTCACATATATATTATAATTTAAAAAAAAAAAAAAAAAAAAAAAAAAAAAAAAAAAAATGCTTAAATTTATCTATGCCTGCAGCGAATAGTGACAAAATAATTGCATTTGTGTTTATAATCGGTCCAGCTCATTCATCCGACAAGTTATCGAAGTCAAGTCAGTATCGAATCAAATTTTGATAGCGAATCAAAAACCACTCCTTGCTTCGATCCCTTGTTTCAGACATTAGCTGGCAAATAACCCTTTTCTACCTCTTACTCTGCCCCTTCGAATACCGTAGTGATGAAAATTATTTAAATAATTCGACAAAAACCATTTCATCAAAGACATGAAGATCAACATACTTCTTCGATAGTTACAACTTAAACGTGAACAGTGCTAAGTAAAGGATCGTTGGCATATAAAGAAAGTCGTACAAAAAGTCAGAGAAAATTTTTACCTCATACATGAAATTCAAACATTCTATTACACTCAATGCAGATGATGCGTAGTTTGCCAAAAGCGCTTAAATTCGCCACCGCTGCTAAAGTGATCAAAAGAAGTGCTCTGAAGATGGCATCGCTACGCTTTAATTGTTTTCAATCTCGCAACTGGTCTTTCTATCGATGCATCGATTTAACGGAACCGAAAAATATTATATGCTTTCGAATAAGGTTTTCTTATTTTTTTTTCTTTTTTTTTTTTAAGAAAAGATCACGATCGCATTTTGCCGAGCAAGCCATTAGAAAAGTATAACAAAATCTTTTCAGTCCTGAACACGTGCAATTAATGAAACTTTCGCCTTATCGTCGTGACTCAATCTTTATAAACTTTTCTCATCTTGTTCTCGTGAGAACAGCGCTCGATTCCCAAAGAGTCAGTTCATATTCCGGGGAAATCTGAATTATTACAAAAAGAAATCCTAGGAATGATGGTCTCAGCGTATCGAAAAATTTGTAGGAGCGATTATTTTGAAAAACCCTGAAAAGTTTCGACTGTTCTTTATATTTTTTTTGAAGCTTTTCCCTTTGGCAAACATAGATTTAAAGCTCGTGCGGAATATCCGGATATTTGTCAACCTTTTTTTTCAAACGGTTCCTGCGAATTTATTTTGCTGCAAGTTCCAAACTGCAATCCCATTTTCATGCTTTCAAACTCGAAAACGCGGAATATCAAAAAATTGGCAACATTGGAATCCTTCTCGCGACATATCTTCAATATAACGAACTTTACGGCAAACTATATTGCCGACACAAATTTCAATGCAAAAGTACTAAGAAACTTATATTCGATGGCGACCGAATCTTTTATACGCATCTGTTGCAGTTTATGAGTAACAAGCAATAGAGAGAGAAAGCAAAACTGTCTACAGTTTTTGTTAAAAGAGTGTGTGGATATTGTAGGCGTGTTCTTTGAAAAGTTTGATTCACTTCAACTTCTTTTGTAAGCATGTACGCGATATCTTCATTTTTGCGAATGGGAGAATGCATACCACAGATACTGCACAGTCGCGCAGACGGATAGGCTTAGGTGCGTTCCGAATTTGAAGTTGGCCAAGAACTTATATATAGTTTATGGGGTTTTAAAGCCTGCTTCCGCACACTATTAAGATATCGGGGAAAAAAATGAAATTATGATATACTAAGATATATTGGATAGGCGCGGTCAACGTTTACCATTGCGCATAGAATAAACAAATTTATTCTTTTTGAAAAACAGAGCTGTTCCCAGTTTATATGGTACTGTAGAAGTGCCCGTCGACGGATTTGCCTCATTTTCAATATCAACTAAGAACTTCCATTGTTTCTGCCAAATTTGCAGTGGTAGCTTGAATTTTGCAGCCAGGAGAACGTTTGTAATGGATGAACAGACGGACAGGAGGATATGCTTAAATGTATTTAGAATTTTATACCGATCACGAATATGTATACTTGGGGGTGACTCTGAAGCTTCCTTCTGGCCGATGCAGGCGTTTTGACAAAATGAATACCCCTCATCCCGCGTTGATGGGTATAAAAGTAAAAACATTATAGTCGAGCGGAGCCCGACATTACTTTGCCAAGTTTACCAGTTTGCATTTGTTTTCACGATAACACGTGAATGTAGGCGTTTTTTTTCATGTAAAGGCCTTTTGATGACGACGTCTTCAAAATACGGCCTTATATAGAGTATGGTCGCAAAGGGGGTCCATTCCAATCCATTTTCGATAGAGTTTAGCTAGTGGGTAGATGGGCCCCACCCTAAATTCGTACAAGCTTTATTAAATGTACATCATACACCGTGTAGACTACAAAAGATAATTTTCTTGTATCTCAATCCAAAGTATCTGTCCCTCTTTAAGCATATATATCTAGATATCTGATGCGCCAGATAGAAAGCACATTAAACATGTTGAAAATGCATGCTAGACGGTTGGACGTATCGTACGTGTTATTATGCGCAATATTTCGTAGCGTTGACTCTAGAAGGGATTCGCAGATCAATTTCAGCGTCGGCGTCTGTTCGCTTAAGCGAAAAGCATTCAACGAATGAGTGAGTTTCAAACTCTACCGCCTTTTAAATGTTAATTTCGGGCGAAGAGAATTATTTATAGGAGTACGAGGTCTAGTTAAATCATAATTCGCTGTAGAAATGGTGTACTCCGATCACGTACGAGTATTTGCATTTGTGCGTAAGCTGTGTAGAGTTGAAATACTTTGTAGAACTTGTACTTGTTTTTCATGATAATAATTTTGAATTTAATCAAGCTTATTTGTTTTTTTGTTTATTCCCTTTTGTTTCAGGAAGCGATTGTTCCCATTTTAAGATTGGCCATAAAAAGAACAAATACGTGAAGAAAATATTTCTACTATTGATTATATTTCTGAGGTTTACGGTTGTGTTGTGTTAAAAGGAGGATGACGGAAACTAATAGTCCCTGGCAAAACGTACAAGGGGATTGAAGTTTCCGTATTAAAAAATTTGCTCAATACTACATGGATCGCAGAAATGGCGGCGATCCTTTGGCGCCTCCTCGGCCCCCTAAATTACTACCTCGAGTTCATCGTCCTAGGGCTCCAGAGCCAGCGATGTTGAGTGAATCAACAGCAACAATAACATCAACCACATACACAAGAACAACAGCAGCAGATTCTGCTACATTAGACACACCTCAATGTACAAATCAAACACAATTAAGTAGGAATAATAATAACAATTTGAGTCAAGAGCAACAACGGCATCATAATAGTATTAATAGTACATCATCGACTGAATTAGCACTACCACCAGCAACAGTAGCAAGTAGAGCAACGGCAACGGCTACTATAGCAACGTCATCATTACCACTTGATAATAGCATTAAATATAATAATAATAATAATAATAATAATACGAACAGTAGACATAGTTACAATAGCAACACATATAATATTAGTAACGTTGAGCCAACGCCGTCGCTAATACTGCAGCATCAACTGGATGATTATCAAATTCATCATTTAACGTTCCTGCCTCAACGACCGCCTAGCTTGAGTAGGAATAATAGTCACGTCAGTTCGTCGTCATCGACATCGTTAAATACAGTTAGTAACTCCTTTACGCGCAGAAGACCACCACCGTTATTGGTTCCCGAGACGACGACGGTCCCATTGCTTACTATTACTGGCAATAGTAGCAGCAATAGTAACTTTCTTAGTCATTTCCATAGTGTCGAACCAGTATCTACTTCACCAGTCACGCTGGCGCAACCTCGACCTGAGTCTGAACGACTCGCTAATGAGTATGTGGACACGCCTCTGCGCACAGCGCAACAGTTGCAAACAACGTCACGCACCCAACATCCGGCTGGCGAGCATAACAATGGTCAAACGACGACACATCATTTGCTACTGTTACCGCAACGCGAATTGCGACAGCAACAGCAACAGCAGCAACAACAACAACAACAACAGCACCAACATTCGAACCGTCTGGCGGAAACTGCAGGTTCAGTCAACGTTTCGACGGGAATCGATGGAACGGATGGATTCCTACATTCGCACCAGCAATATAATATACATAAAGCACCAGTGCATTCGTCGCCGAGCGCGATAATGAGGCCGGGTAAAATATCACCAACAAATCTTACAACACCCGCCATCCCATCAATTACTCAGCCAATCACAAAACAACCCGCCTCGTCAACCAATTACAATAACACGTGCAAATTTGCAAAAGAACTTCCAGCATTAGATGATTTACTCGACTTACATAATATCGCAACGGGCATCTCAACACCACAAGGCATTGTATCGGCTGTCAGTGGGGCGAGTCCACTAGGTGCACCTATTATCATTGCTGGCAATGGCAGTGAAGGTCCATCTTCACTTAATCCCATTACGTGTCCGCAATGCGATCGTTGTCGTTGTGAGCAATGCCAAAGTCCTCGTCCGCTACCGCAGACTTGGGTATGCAATAAAACCTGTCTCTGCAGTGCAGAATCTATCATTGACTACGCATCATGTCTATGCTGTGCAAAAGCACTTTTCTATCATTGTGCTCGAGACAACGACATGGATTGTGACGATGGCTCTAGCACACCCTGTGTGGACAATCCGTGCTCTTGTGGTCCTTACAAGAGATCGCAAAGGTGGGGCTGGCTGGGCGCATTATCGCTTGTATTACCATGTCTGTGGTGTTACTGGCCAATGCGTGGCTGTGCAACTATTGGCGAGAAGTGCTATGGTCGATTTGCAAGACGAGGATGTCGATGTCAACAAATCGGTTCAACATCAAGTATGCTACCCATCACGTCGCCGCTTTCGGTTAATGGTAACAATGTTTTGATATTAAGCAATGCGGCCAACATGCAAGCAAACAACAATGCCACCTCAAAATCTGTGGATCATCACAGTGATTGTAATGCCAATGCAAGTCGGATTCTACGTAAAGGTGATCTAACACCGGAAAAGCGTTTACTCGACTCAAATGCCGAGTATTAACGCCAAATCCTAGGCTACACACGTATAGCAGCATTTACGCGTAAACATGCTAGAATCACCCGCTCAACTTCGAAACGTTGTGTCTATGAAGAGCATGTCATTATCAAAAAAACAAATAATAATAATGAAATAAATAAATAAATAAAACGTATTTAATAAAAAAATAAAAAAAAAAAACAACCTCGAAAACAATATTTCTTGCATTATCAATCGGAGAAATCTCTTTTTTTTCCAAAGAAGCATACATTTCTATTATTATTTTTGAAACAATAATAATAACAAGAGCGCAACACATGATGATGATAAAGGAAAAGGGAAAAGCATGTATGTACATCTCTGATCGATCAGAGCGATACAAATAGTGAAAATGGAGCGATATGAACTTTGAAATATTATTTGAAACTGACAGCAGTAGCAGTACCAGCAGCACTATTCTGTTAAAACGCAGACGCACAGGGTATTAACATAAATGAATGGTGGATTAGAATGAAAAGCAACTAAGAAGGTCAAACGGAGAATGAGAGGAGAAGAGAGAAGAGGAGAGAAGCTGAAACGGGCAATGAGGCAGCGATCTGATAAAATAAGCCATACAACAACGCAACGCCTTGGGCCAAGACAAATATGATCGCAAAACATTTATTACTAAACCAACTGAAAAATATAACAGCAAAACCATTTCAAAATACATTAAAACTATAAATGTTATATAAATATAATTAATTAATATTATTAAATATTATTATGTGTATATGGATTAAAAGAGCAAAACAAACACGAAACATGCATACATACATACATACATACATACATACATACATACATACATACAT